TTTCGATTTGACGTGCAAGCATATATGCGGGCAAGCGCGCCGCGGCGAGCTTCTTGATCCCACGCTCGCTCAGCCACCAAGGGAACGTGGGGTAAGGGAGGCAGAACACGTTCAGTGCGATTGGTCCGCGCACAGCTGTCGTTGGCAGAGAGCACTCCAGTCGAAAGTGCTTTGATCTGGCATCCGATTCATCACCTACCTCGCTCGATCGCGTGCTAGGCATGTTCCTTCGCTTTGCACCTCGGCTACCCCTTTCCGGAACCCTGCATCGCGAGCAATGCTGCAACGAGAATGAGCATGCAGTTTGTATTTCGAACTTTTTACAGAGGATTCAAGGCTTGGCACCAAGAAGAGTCAAGGATAGTGTCTCGCATCGATCAAAGCATTTCACTGCACGACTAAGCCCTGGCCAGCTTCACCGCAGCGAGCGAGTAGGCCGGCAGAGTGATGCGGAAAGCGCCGTTCACAAAGTCCTGCGCAGAGGTGTTGCGTCGAGTGGGCTTGATGTTCTGTGCGAACACAGTGCATCGATGTGGTCAGTCTCGAAACGAGCGTATTTTGATCAAAAGGCAGGATCTAAAAATTAGACTTACCTGACGGTTGTCTGGAGTGTTCGAGGCGTAAGCATCGTTGTGAGCAGAGAGTATCAGAGATCCGGCAGCGTTGGGGTTGTACTGCGCTCCGTCCGCCTTGACGGTGACGGTGACAGGGTCTGCACCGCTGTTGCTGAGCTTGATGACGTCCAAGTTGCCCTGTTTACCAGCGCTCCAGTACACCGGCTTGTATGCTACAGAGCTTGTCATCTTGTACAAGGAGTCGATGCCATACTGTCCAAAGGCATATTGTGCCCAGTACGATGCCGAAGGCCACGAGTCTACAGCGTCGAAGCTGATGAGGTCCGGGTGCCACTGGCTCAGACCATTGCCAATCTTGTTCAGCAGCGGCGCATAGGCGAAGGTCTTTACGACATCGCTGTTCCGCTCCATACCCATCATAGCAGTGAACTCAGCAACAGCGCCGAGCTGAGAGCAAACAGGCTGACCGTGTAAGTGGCGCTCACAGGTGGAAGCTCGCCGTTAGTAACTCACTTGGATAGGGTAGGTCAGACGACAAGGACCGCTCAAAGCGTCAATTTGGGGTGTCTCCCCACACTACAATTGTCAGGGACGATTGGATCAGCACAAGAATTGCGATTGCGAGCAGCGAACTCCGCGGGCTCACCTTGCCGCTGTTTGTGACAGCCATTTCGAGGTTCCAGATGGTGGTGGCGTTGCGTGCCCATGTGTCATACCGGTCGTAAGCTCCCAAGAAGAAATTGGGCGTGTTGTAGTCGCTGGGAAAGCACATGAAAGCGCGGTGAGATTCAATCGCGAATGCAGCAACGCTCATGCCTCTTACTCACTGCTGATCAATGGCTGCCAGCTGAGTCTTGGGGGTAGGGTAAGGACTACTGGACATCACCAGAAGGTTGGGGAATGCGGCTTTGATAGCGTTGGCAAAACGAGGGTATCGGGTCTGGTACGTCTTGATGGCAGCCTCACTGATCCAGTCTTCATTGCCGACCTGGACAGCAGCCAGATTGTAAGGGGCCGCGTGTCTGTTGGCTTCACGCTGCTTCGCCCATGTGGAAGAGCCTTGAGGATCAAGCAGGTAGTGCAGTTCGTTCACAGCCGAGTCGATGTATGGCTGAAGCTGATCGTCGGGAACGGATTGCTGGTTGAGAGTGTAGCCAGCGAAGACTCTAACACGGCGAGAGGGCATCCATGTCAGCACTCATTGGCACGGTCAATCGTCTTTCGCTGCACTCACCCAGGAATGGCCTTGGCTCCAACCGCTTCGCCAAGCCTGTGTGCCTCATCCAGGCCATAGCCATCCGTGTCCCAGTCGATCCAAGTGCCCGCACGTCCTGGGCGGTTCTTGAGTGGTCCGACTGCCTGCTCCCACTGGAAACGTGATGCCAGGTTGTTGCCTTCCAGAGCATTACCACCGATGACGCGCCAGTACTTGGGCTTAAGGTCGGCCAACAGCTGCGCGAGATCCTGACGTGCAGTGGTGCCTTTGAAAGTCTCGGGGAACAAGCTGATGAGATTGAATTGGCATTGTTCGCTCGCAAAGTTGCCAGGGAAGTCAAGACCAAACTGGTTGGAGGCGACATTGTTGCCACCTGTAACCTGAATCGTGGCCTTGAATTCTTTCCAGGAATTCGTCAGCGCCAATGGAACTTGCGCAGATCCAAGTGCTTTCTTTTGCGCGTCATACAGACCGGCAGTGGCAGTCGTGGATGTGGCGGCGTTGCAGCGGGCGCTGAGAGTAAGACTGTATTTGCCAGGCTTGGCAGCGATGCCAGCCCAGCCGACGTTTCTAACGCCAAAGCTGCTCGGGCTCCCCTTCTTGGCGACACGAAGGGAGCGAGGAAGGACGTTGCTGATGGCATCGGAGGTGATGACAGAGATGTCCGCGTTGTTACCCGTCCAGCTGTTGGTCAGACCGTCGCCTTCACTCTGGAGAGCTCGGCTCTTGATGAGCTCAGCATACAGGCCACCATCGGATCCGCTGTTGATGTTGTTCTGCGTGGTGAGGATGAGTAGATGTCGGAATTAGCGCAGCAATTTGACTGGTCGGGGCTCTTACATCAAATCACCTCTATGAAAGCAGTGACACCGAAGTCCACTTTGCTGCTGGTCTGTCGCGCTACGGTGAGGTCAACAGATGTGGCTCGCCGAGAGTTGACCAGTGAGTTTGGCGCGGCGGCAGCAAGAGCGACTACTGACGCCACTGTGAGAGGAATGGTGAGAGACGCCTTCATCGTGGAGAGTGACGAACGCTAGAAGATAGTCCAGAGTTGTAGCAATGCCGCAGCTTGGAATTTTGTCAGGTGAGAGGAGCGATGAACGTACGAAGTATGAGGGGAGGGCGGACAGGGAAGGGTGAGAATATGGTGACCGTTTTTGTCGGAGAGCGGAAGGGAGGGGCTGTGAGGATATGGTGTAATAATGCTTCCTTGATCGCCAGAAAGTCGCCTCTTATAGACAGAGGGCACCCACGGACGAGCGTCCATCACGCCGAAGCAAGGCCAGCATGGGGTCTGGCCACACCTGAATGATCGCCCCTCCCACTCTGGCGCGCTTCAGGAACAGACACATCACCATCCATTCATACTGAGATGGTTAGCGAGGGCGGTTATCTGCGCGGCTAGAATCCAGAAAGTAGCAGAATGCCGAAAGGGAAGGACAAATTGCTACAAGCCTCCTGCTAGCCTTCTAGCGCAAGTGCTCTGCCATCACGCTGAAATTCTTGGGGCGAGCCTGCACGCACAACGCAGGACGGGCAATCGAAGGTGGTGACGCTAGCGCGACGTTGCTTTCCCCAGGATCTGCGCCAGATTCGGGGCACCGTGCCCATAAGTGAAGGGTCAGCCTGGCGCGCTTATTGCTTCCCCGCGTTCCTGGGCAGACACTTGAGAGGCTGCAGAAGCAGATGGTGAAGTTTGAGTAGCGTGCGTGCGAGATTCACGGACGGTTGAGTGCACCAGCGTCTCGGACATCTCTTCAAGCTCATGGTCGAGGGCAAGCCGCGTTCGTCTGCTGGCGCTCCTTCCCTGAGCTGTGTCAGCAGAGCGCTGCGTGGGAATGCGGGGAACATGATGCTGATCTGCACGTGGTCGTCAATGTGGGGCATCGCAGCGTCCGTCGGACGAACCTCGCTGGCCGCGCTCCGGCTGCGAGGCTTGCTATTCGAGGTGGACTTAGCGCCGGAGATCTTGACGATGCCCATGCAACACTTCACAGGCCAAGATGATTGCAACGCCCTGGCTTTGACTGGCGGGCTTTCACGGCACCATCGGATCGCTCCCGCTGAGGTGCGTCGGCCCGTCACTGCTGGATGGGTGATGCTTGTCAGGCGGATGGCCAAAGCTGAGATGGAAGCTTCTAAACAAACATTCATCAATCCCGACTCTCACATGGGCTGCGCACATTTCACGGCGAGGGCGCAGAAACTTCGATTTCAGGGCGTGGAGTGCCAATTTGCCGTTCACTTTGCTTCCCGCCGAGACCGGCCCCGCCGCCGTCAGACGCGGAGCGGAGCTCGTGGACATCAGGCCGAGCCGCAGGAATTCTTGCAAGCGAATCGTAGGTACTGGTTCTGTAGTCTTGACGACCATTCAGTGATTCTTGATTGCGGACAAGGGATGGATGAGCAAGGGGCAAGGCAAGGGCAGCAGGGACGGAGCTCAGCTTGGTGCTGCAGCATGACGCGGCTCAACTCATCAGCAGCCCGACTGTGTTTAGCGCCGGAAATCTCAGATGCAGAACATCGCGCAGTCAGAATGACTTTGACTTTGACAGGCCAAGAGCTGATTCCTCCAATCTGAGTCTTGAGTCGGACCTGAGCCTTTCCGCTCTTCAAGAGAGGCCGCAAATCGTCGTCAAGGGTCTTGCTGCGTCCAGGGGATGACGAGTCTACAAGGTATGCTTAAAAACATTCATCCGTGCTCTGGTTCTTCGAAATCACGAAGGCTGTTTGTTGACACTCAAACTCATCATCAGACGCGAACGGTGAAGTTTGACCATTCACCATTTTTGATTAAAGAAGGCCGCCTGCATCATCTTGATTCAAGACTCAAGATTCAGAATCTTGAATTGGATATCATGCAGCTTCTCGATTATTGTGTACCTGTATTCGTGATTCAAAATCAAGTCAAGAATTCAGGACCTTCACGCATGAGCGCCCACAATTTGAATCTTGGATCTTAAATAATCTTGAATTTTTAACCTTGAATTACCGAGCACATGCGGTTGCGCGGTGTGCACGGAAATAAGGTACCACCAGCATATTTGTAGTGGCGCGAATAATCAAATCCATCTCGCGCGCCAGTGGCCTGAAACATTGAAATTTGGGTCACAAATGAAAAGGAATTGAAGTTGAACACTTAATCTAAGGATCTTGAATTCGAGCTTGCACCTTGAATCTTGAATCTTCTTGCTTTGCGTGCGCACGGGCAAGCTCAAACCGCGAATACGCGTGCTGCAGGAAGCCAAGGATCAAGAATTCTTGCGCCTTTCCACCAAGACGCGCGGTCGGACATTAGACTCAGACTCCAAAGACTCTTCTTTCTTGACTCGAGCCCTGCTGCCGATTTCCTGATCGCCCGATGCGCATGGAGTCATTGTCAAGTCGTGAGTGCCACAGTTGCCGGCAAGTGCAAATTCGCATTCAGACTGGTACACCTCGTCGACAACATCACCGCAGGCTTTGTCGTCCTTAAGCCCTGGGCACAGTCTCCAGAGCTGCTGCGCATTTCGTCCCTTGCGCAGTGCCTCTCCTTCTTGAGAATCATCTCTTGTGGGGCCGCCTCCACCGAACTCTAAACCCCACCCGGACTGGCAAAGATCACCGACAATGACGATCCGGCGCACGTGCTTGGCAGCTCCCAGAGCGCTCTCGGCTGGACTACGAGCTCGCCATTCAGGCACAGCAGTTGCTGCTCCACCTCCGCCTCCTACCTGCTCCCGGCAATCACCTGCGCCCTCCAAAGCCGCGCCAAGCCAGCACACCCACCAGCTACACACGATCGCAAGCTCGTCTCGTCTCCCACCATTGCAGAGTGGTCGCTCTCATGCAAGGCACGCCAGCAATGATGCTTCGAGCAGCAAGTACGAGCGTCGAGACGAAGCCATTCGGGCCAAACGAGTGCGCTTGGTCGATCCAGAGACGGGCAAGCTGAACGAGACAGCCGAGTCGACAAAGTCCTTGCTGCAGCGAATCGACAGGCAGAATTGGTGGCTGGTGCAGGTGACGGAGGGTGGTCGTGAAGAGGACGAAACGGGGGCACGTTTGCGGGTGGCGGATGAGGATACGCCCATCGTCAAGCTTGTCAATCGCAAACAAATCTACGAAAGGGCGAAGGAGAAGAAGGCGCTCAAAAAGTCCGACCCAGGCGCAGCTGCCAGGTCCGAGACTCTGGAGAAGACGGTACAGATCACTTGGAGCTCTACGCCGCACGACGTGAAGCACAAGCTTTTGGGCGGCAAGACGCACTTGTGGAGGAAGCGTGTAGGCGCTCGAGTAGTGGTGGCGATCACCAGCAAGAGGGGCAAAGGTCCAGCAGGCGGGTCCACACCAGAAAGCCGGCTCAAGCTGATCGAAGAAGTTACAGACTTACTTTGTGCACCTCCGGAACCAAATGAGATTGGTCGCCACGAATTGGTGCAGGAGGCTCACGTCAAGCAAAAGGGCCAGCTGGAGTGGCGCATGAATGGGGCTGCAGTCGACATCACTTTCGAGCTCGCAAGCGGCAAAGCAAAGTAAAGGTACAGCGATGGCCGCATAGGATTTCGCTGTTCGCAGCCAGTCATGTGTGGCTCGCCATGGGGCATCAGTGATGCATCAGCTCGAGGTCAAGATGGACCATCAACGCGCTTGCCTGCAAAGCTAATATAATGCTCGCCCCTCGCGCACTAGGATTGCAGACGGACAAGCCGCTTGTAGCCGGGGCGACAAGTACGTACAGGGTTCGACACCGGGAACCTCATACTGTTCTGCTCAGGCGCCTACTGAGTCTAGGAAGCCCGTGATCTTCGCAAAGTCTGGGAGGTGTGGATGCCATGCAAGGTCGAACATGTGATCTTGGTCTGGGTAGGGTACCTGATTGTATGGATCAAGGAGCGATGGAGAGCATGGGGAATGTCAAATGTTGCTCAAATTCCGTCGCGCATACTGTCTCGGCATCTCGCGTGAACTCACAAGCTCGCTTTTGACTCCGTGAGATTTCAAGATGCTGTCAAATGTCTCGGAGACGTGGAATGGCACCAAGCTGTCTCCCGTGCCATGCAAGGTCAGTGTGGGAGGAAACTTTGCGTCGATGAGCGGTGTGGGATCTTTGGGATGCCCTGCCCAGTTTGGCGTGTTTCCATCTGCGGGCACGGGCAAGGGGGGAACAATGCGTCAGTCACTTGATGGGGAGCCAACATCACGCGAGATGACTGCATCCTAGTCACGCACCCGGGCCTTCACAGATAGCCTCCAAGACGCCCGTGTTGACCGAGTAAGGGCACAAGAGGTTTCGGATGATCTCTTCCTGCGTCATGACGCCGTCCAAGCCGTACGCTTTGAAATCCTCCAGGCTGATTCCGTTGGCTTGCACCAACGCCTCTATTTGTTCGCGCGGTGTTTGAAGCATCTGAAAGATGTTCAGATAAGATCCGGTAGTGGGCTTGCCCCTGCCTGCCTTGGCTTCACTCATGATGTGCAGCAAAAATGGAGTGGCTTGGTCGATGCCTGGGAGGACCATCGGCTTCACGGCTGGCTTGCCCCAATCGCCGGCAAGCAGGGACCAGGTGCCGTACAAGTTGATGTAGGCAGCTGGGCGCACTGGCGCTCTGGCGCCGATCAGGGTAGAGCTCCAACCACCTGGGGGAAGATGGCAGGAGAGATGGGGGACGCGAAGGCAGAGGAACTCGAAGTCAGAGACGCGACTTCTGAATGCATTGCTCACGCAGCCCAGCTCATTTCGCTACACCGACGTGGACCCTCACCTGCACTAATGCCAAGCAAGACGGCACGCTTCACATCCACTTCCTCCTTCCCGAGCTTCTTGTTGAGTTCTCCGGCGGTGACAAAGTTCCACGCGTCAGAGACGTCTTTGGCGATGGCGGGAGCATCGCATTCGGGTATGAGCCTGTAGTCGGGAGATACAATGGCATAACCTCGAGCGCGTGCCAGCGCAAAGGACCACAATCTAACATCCTTCCTGTCGCCGCCAGATCCACCACCTCCGTGGACCGAGAAGAGAACTGGAGCGGGCAAAGCAGCGCCAGGTGGAGGAGGATAGTAGTCGAGCGAGATGTCGCTGCCGAAAGCTTGCTTGAACGCGATGGTCTGGACCGACATGTTTGCTCGACTTTCTTTGGAACGAGTCGCGAAGCGGATCACAGTCTGCAAACCAGCACGAGTGGGAGGGGAGGGAGGGGCTTCGCAATCGAGGTCAGCTTTAACAGGCTGGGCAAGCCCTGCGTGAGCATCGCATCTACCCCTTGAGCCCCGCTCAAACGTCCGCAAGTCGGATCATATCAAGAGGTCAAGTCAAGAGTCAGAGTCAGAGTGCAGCAGCGGCTCGGATCTGTCCTGCGCTAAAGAGACGATCACGCGGTCGGACCAGCTTGCGCCAAGGA